GGCTGTCTATACACCTCAGTATTCTTTAAACCCTAAACCCTTAAATTATTAAGTGAGAGCTGTCTATACACCTCAGTATTCTCTAACCCCTAAACCCTAAAAAAATAAAAACCCCCAAACCACCTCAAAACCCTGAAAAAACACAAAACCCCTTTAAATAAATATAAAGAATGTTTATAAATATTCATAGACTCTACACAGAGAAAAAAACCCTTTACACATATACAACAACCACCTAGACCCTCAGCTCCTCCATAGAAAAAGCTGTGATACGTTTGCTTTACTATGCAGCGCTGCAGCACGACCTGCAGGGGCCCTACAAGACAAACCAGGGGCCCCTCTTACCTTTCGCTAGCTGCATGCTTATGCTGCTTCCTGCTGCACTTGTGCTCCTCGGCTTCGCTTTCCCAGCAGACCCGCGGGGACGGGGGCCCCCAGGCCCGGGCCCCCCGGGGCCCCCAACGGTGGGCCCCAAGCCGTCTGCAGCGTCTGCTGGAGGGGCCCCCACGGGCTCGCGTGAGGGGGGGCCCCCCCACTGGGTACAGAACAGCAAGGCGGCCGTGGGATCAGATGTGTTTCTTACAGCGAAGTATGTGTTTTTGGTGGGGTTGTTCCTCATAGATATTCCTGGGCTGGGGTTCCGGCTGGCTGCGCTGATGCATGGGGGCCCCCTACAGGGGGGCCCCCTATTGTGCCCTTTGCTGCTTAAAAATTTCGTATGGGTCGTGCTGAGGCCCCTGCGCATGCACCAGTGTGTCTTAGCAGAGAAAGAAGAGTCTCAGTGGCTGCAGCGAGAGGTCCTTACTGTTGCAGCAGATGCATTGCTGCAGCCTGCTGCTGCTGCTGCAGCAGCAGCTGCTGCTGCTGCTGCAACACCCCCTTCTCTGCTCATGGGGACCAATGGCCTCGCTTCTGGTGCTGCTGCTCCGCCTCCTCCAGAAGCACCACAAGAAGCTACTGCAGCAGCAGCAGCAGCAGCAGCAGCAACCGCAACACGTCGGAGGACTACCAGCAGAAGAAGAAAGAGGGCCTCAGTAGCAGCAGCTCAACAGGAGCTGCCTAAACAAGGGGGAGAGGATTTCACACCTGCAGCAGCAGGAGCAAAGGAGGTTGCTGCTGCTGCTGCTGCTGCTGTCAATGAGAGACAGCAGGCCTTCTTGCTGCACCTGTTCGGCCTGTCTCCTGCTGCTCACCCCACAAGCCTTGAGCTGTCTCTCAGCTCGCCAGCAGCAGAAGCAACAGATGTGCTGCTCCAAGGGCCTGGTTCCCCTGGCACTGGAGAGACCCGCCATGCAGCAGCAGCAGCAGCAGCAGCAGCAGCAGAGGGGAAAGCAAGGCGATCAGCTTCAACTCTATCAGACGCCCAGCAGCAGAGAGCACACAGGAGGCCCCTGGAGGCCCTCCTGACATACAAGCCGCGGCGCTTCCTGCGGATGCTGGGTAA